GACGTGCTACTGACAGGGGTGATGTCGAGGTATATCCTGCTGCTCGCAGTGGTGCTGCCGGAGGCCCCCGTGCTGCCCCGGTGGTGCTGCTGGAGTCCGCCCTGCTGCGCACGGCGGTGTTGCGGGGGTCCGTGATGCTCACGGTGGCTCCGCTTGAGCCCGCACAGCTCACGTTGGTGCTGCTGGAGTCCGTCGTACTGCTGACGATGGTGCTGCACGAGTCCGTCGTGCTGCTCCCGATGGTGCTGCTGGACTCCGTCTCGCTGCCCCCAGCGGTGTTGCTGAAGTTCGTCCTGCTGCACACGGTGGTGTCGCGAGGGTGCGTGTTGCTCGCGGTGGTGCTGCTCGAGTCTGTCCTGCTCACGGTGGTGCTGCTGGCGTCCGTCGCACTGCTCCCGATGGAGCTGAAGTCCGTCGCGTGGCTCGCGATGGTGCTGCTGGGCTCCACCGTGCTGCTCACAGAAGTTATGCCGAGGGCCGGCATGCTGCTCCCGGAGGTGCTCCTGGAGGCCCGCGTGCTGTCCCCGGTGGTGCAGCTGGAATCCGACGTGTTTCCAGCGGTGCAGCTACTGGATTCCGTGGCGCTCCCAGTGATGCTGCGCCCGGTGGTGCTGCTTGGCCCCGTCGATATGTTCATCGAGGTGATGCCGGCGTCCGTCGTGCTGCTCGCGATGATGCCGCTGGAGACCCTCGTGCTGCCACGGGCGGTGCTGCTGGAGTCCGACCTGCTGCTCACGGTGGTGTTGCTGGAGTCCGCGCCGATCACGGTGGTGCTGCTTGGCTCCGTCGTGCTGCTGGCCCGAGTGATGCCAGGTATGTCGTGCTGCTCACGATGGTGCTGCTGGAGGCCGTCGTGCTGCCCCGGTTGGCACCGCTGGAGCCCGCCCTGCCGCTCCCAGCGGTGCTGTTGGAAGGCGTGCTGCTCACGCATGGCTGGCGCAATGCCACGCACATGCGTGAGCTTCAACCCTGGGCGGCTCCGCGCGGCTGGTGTGACGGTCCGCTCGCGCCCGCCGGTGTGACGGGCGGCTCGCGCTGGCGCCGTGCTGCCCCCCACATGCCGGAGCTTGTCCTGCTCGCACCAGGCGACGCTGAGGTCCGTGCTGCTGCTGGCGGCGCTGCTGGAGCCCGTGCTGCTGACGGTGGTGGTTCTGGAATCAGGTCTTGAGTCTAGGGGCACGTACATGAGCCTTCGCAAGAGATGGCTTCGTGGCAATTTCGCGCCGCTTTTGAACATGTGGGCAGGTGCAGACTCGGAAAGAGTGAGGATTAGCTGGAGTGACGGCAGAGGACAGTAGAGCATGTTCAAAAAGAAGCGCGTCTGGCAGGGCGTCGGGGGGGGGGCGTGTGGCAGGGCGTCGGGTGGAGCGCGAGAAATGCCCGCCGTTCTGCGACCCCCAGTCAATCTGCAATGGCCAAGGGGGGGCGGCGAGGAGGCAGACGTAGTAGTTGGAGCCTCGGCACCTGGCGGGCCCACTTCGCTCCGTGCCCCCTCCGTTGTCGGACGGCCCTGCCCCGCTCTCCGCCGTGCCGAACTCGGCGGACGCCAGCAACGCGGCGCAGGCCGCGGCGTGGAGGCGGTGGCTCCCCCACAATCTCTCCCGAAGCACGTCTGCGTCGCGTTGGCAGGTCCTTCTGCTAGATGGATGGATCCTGCCACCGTGCCCGCGGCATGCGGAGGCGTGGAGCCCAAGGACTGCCTCACAGGGTGTCTGTAGCCTTCTGACTACCTACCAGACCACCCCAACCCAATCCGAAGACCCGAATTTCGGGTTGGGGGGGGGTACGGGTTCCATATGCGTGTTCTCCATGTTCCACGACCCCCCCCCCACTGGAGATCGAGGGTAAATCTGAGCCTTCGGGTTGGGTTGGGGTGGTTTGGTGGGTGGTGATCTTCTGGGGACCCCACCCGTCACAGCCACCTGACTGCATCGCCCCTATTGCCGGGGGTCCACGGGCGGCCATGGCGCCACCCCTGAGGCTCTCTATTAGCTTCCATGGCGGTCCAGAAAGCCCCCCAAGACGGCCCAAGAGGGCCCCGGGTCGCCGATCGATTGCTCGAAGACGCCAAAGATGGCCTCCGGATGGCTCAAGAGGCCTCCAAGACGCCCCAAGAGGACTCCAAGAGGTCTCCCAAGAGGGCCCCAAGAGACAAAAATCACTGCGTTCTCGCCTTGTCGGCAACCCGACGCTCCAAGACGGCCCACGAGGCCCCCAGGACCACCCCTAAACTGCCTCAGAGGCCTTCAAGAAGGAGCGCCCCATCCGCCCCAAGAGGCCCACAGGAAGCTCGAAGAGGCCCCAAGAGGCCCCCAAGAGGCCCCAAAAGAGGCCTCATGAAGCCCCCAAGAGGCCCCAAAGAGGCCCCGGGAGGCCCCCAATCAGCCCCCAAGAGGCCTCAAAACTGCCTCCAAGAGGCCCCCGAGAGGCCTCCCACGCAATCCCAACGAACATCCACTAGACATCAGACCCACAACCCAGCCACAGTGGCGGGATTTGCCGTAGGCAGAAGGATATAGATAGATGGATATAGAAAGACAAACAGATGGGTAGATGACTACGCGAATAGATGGACAGACCGATGGATATATATTTATATATAGAGAGAGAGATGTAACACAAACACATGAATGGATGGGTAGATGGGTCGATGCACGGATGGGTAGATAGATTGATATATTGATGCATAGACAAATAAAACATATATATATATATATGTATGCATGAATACACATATGTATATGTTGATGAACATATATATTTATATATCAACACATGTACAGAGACAATGATAGCTACACACGTAAAGGTAAATGTGTGGGTGGGCCGATAGGTCTAATAGCTGGATGTGTAGATGGATGGATTCATAGATGGATAGGTAGAAAGTAAATATCTACACTATATGTGTATGTATGTATGTCTACACATAACGAAAGATGGATCGACATGTAGACAAATGGATAGATGGATCGATGGATTGCGGGCCCCTGGACCGTGACGATGCAGGCACGTCGGGGATGTCAGACCTGCACCTGGGGGGAGCACGATCCGTTTCAGAGACATGAAATACGGAAGCGCCAGTGTCATCGTGATTCGCGACGTCAGCTGCGGCGTTGCAACGTTATGCAAATAATGATGAAGGGGGAGATTTGCTGAAGGCGGGTCAGCCAGATATGCAGCAGTAAGAATGTAGATCTTGGTACCGGGGCGAGCAAATATCGATGTACATTTATACAATTTGTGTATACGTATAGATGGATGCGTCTTTACACATCTATATATATATATAGGCATATATGTGTGTACGTACACACGCACACGTACATACATACATATATATATATATATATATATATACGCCTTCTGGCGGCAGAGTTGAATCTATACGCGTAACATGGCCGACACACTTCCACTTGGTACGCAAAACGTCCTCGGTTTGCAATGTCACCCAAGCGCCCATTGCTGCATCACGAGGTGCTCGCGTGGACGTGGTGACCAAATGGCACCCAATCCTCGCAAGGCTTCCGCTGGAACCCAAGGATGCGCCGGAGCATGATGCACGTATGCGTGCCTCCTCCTCGCTTCTTAAACCAGAAGCCCGGACGGCCAGCACTACAGTGCACCTCTGCAGACGCTTGTTTCGGAAGGCGGAGGTGCTTCAGTAACAGTCTCCCGGGAGAGGGGGGGGGGGGGGCAGACACGGCTAAAATAAATGCAACATCGTCCATCCAGAGCTGCGATGCACATTTGTATAGACTTCACTTGCGTCCCGAATACTTTGAGGCCTTCAACGGCAGGAACCCTGCGGGCTACTTCCATGCGCTTGCCAGCCAGCGCATATCCCTCTTCACCGTTATGCTGGATATGTCATTTGCCCGAGTTTAGTGATGACAACGAAAAAACGAAAAGGAAATCAATAACCAGGAGGCGTGACGAGAATGAGAGAAGAAAACGGGCACAAAAGGACGCCAAGGCACGCAGCAAAAGATAAACAAGTAGAGCAGGGGAGGGGGGAGGGAGAGAGGGGGGAAGAGGGGAGGGTGAGAAGGGAAGGGAGGCAGGGGAAGGAGCGGGAATGGGAGTGCGAGTGGGAAGGAAACGGCAACGGGAATGGGGAAAAGGGAGGAGCGAGTAGACTACCTCAGAAAATGCATATTTATGCCAAAGTTCCTCTTCGACGCAGGGAGGAGGAGAAGGACAACGACAACCACGACGCCAGCGACAACGACGACGCCGACGACGACGACAAGGGAACGAGGAATGAGGCGGCCTTGGCAGCGCTGGCGCCGAGGAAGAAGACCCGGAGCTCTTAGACTGCTCCACCCCCTCGGAGCTGAAGAAGAAGGCCAAGTTCGGCTGGGGGTCGTCCTCGGCCGCCAGGCGTCGCGCTTTTGGTATCCTCTCGGCCTACGGAGCTGCGGCCCGCAAAAGCTGTCCGCGTCGAGGGATACATCCCAGGGATGGGGTGGGCACTCACTTTTCGACAGGCGAACGGGGAATGTTCCAACACGGCCACGCGTCTCCCTCTGCCAAGAACTTGTTTTAATGCGAGCGGAGGAACCGATTCCGAGGGGGACCAAGAACTTGTTCAAGGCGGACGATTAAACTCCCAAGACGCCCCGCGGGATACGCAACCAGCCCTTCGGACCGAAGCCGGAATCAAATCCAGCCCAAGCTCCGCGCCACCCATTCCCCCCGGTCCCTGGAACCCCTTCAGTCTCGACGCCTCCCTGGTTGGCGGACCCCCTTGTCGGAGACCAGGACTGCGCGTAAACAATACAATATGAAGGATTGCTCGCAAACGGACATGATGAAGAGTTGCACGTAAACGGTGCAAAATGGATGGTTGCATGTAAACGGTACAAGCTTGGGGGCTGCACGTAAACACTTTGAGATATACCATTGCACATAATCGGTACAGCATGGAAAGTTGCAGGTAAGCAACTAAATATGCGCGTGAATGGTACGTTTACTGTAAAGGATCGCGCGTCGACCGTGCCACATTGAGGGTTGCACGTAAACGGCCGAACATGCAGGGCTGCACTTAAGAACTAGTGTCTGGTTGAAAGAGCACCAGTCGAAGAATTGCCCCAGCCAAGCATCCGGTCAATCCAAGAAATCTAAATTCCAAAAAAAAAAAAAAGTGGGAAAAAAAGGAAACTACAAATAAAAACCCACAAGAAAACGAACACACCAATAACCTTAAATACCACAACCACGCAGAACAAAACACGAACCACTAAATCATACCAGACCAAGCACCAAACACCCTGACCCCACCACCTGGCCCATCCCAGCCCATGCCGAAAGAAAGAGCCACACACACCCTTTCAGGCAAAGAGCTGCGCGTCAGAAGCATGTCGGCCCGCTAGGACTGAACTTCCTGGCACTCCTCCTTCTAAGCAGCGACGACCGCCGCAAAGCCGACACTCTGGAATGATTTTCCCAGAAAGATCCTCGGCAGTGCGCCGCGATCCAAAACGCGAGCTGGCAATCCGAAAAGGTTTTCCTGACGGACGGACAGCGCTGGGTTTCCTTCAGCGGCGAAAAGCACTAGGCAGTTGGAAACCAACCGCCCGCCGGCACGCCCGCCCGCGCGCCCGCCCGCCCGCCCGCCCGCCCGCCCGTCCGCTCGGCCGCCCGCCCGCCCGCCCGCTGGCCCGCCCGCCCGCTCCCCCGCGCGCCCGCCTGCCTGCCCGCCTGCATTCTGCCGTGCGCCGTCCGACCGCCCGCCCGCCCGCTCGCCCACGCGCCTGCCCGCCCGCCCGCCTGCATCCTGCCGTGCGCCTGCTCGCCCGCCCGCTCGCCCACTCGCCCGCCCGCCCGCTCGCCGGTCTGCTCGCCCGCTCGCCCGCTCGCCCGCCCGCCAGGGACACGCACGACCCCAATCAGTGCGCCGGCTGCTGCCAGCTATGAAATATCAGCGACGGTCAGCTATTACAGAGCTGATCGAGGCAGCGAAGAGTACTAAAAAGATACGAGGAGACTGAAGTCCATGGTAGAACAAGAAGTCGAGGAGCCTGTCGAGGAGGTACTTATTGTGATAGCCGCCCCCGAAGAGGATGGAGGCCGGTCGGCGGTTGGAGACGGGTACAACTGCACCGGTACTTCCGATGACCCGCCTGCGCAACGTCCCGTTGCAGGGTCGTGCACCACATTTGGCCGTGGTCGAGGGCGTGGCCCGGGTAAGGTGCAGAAGAAGTGGTGGATGCAGTAGCAGTGGGACCCGCAGTGGCACCAGGGGGCCAAGGATGGTGTCGATGCTGCTGGAGTCGGTGCTGGAGTCAGTGCTGGCGTCGGTGCTGCTGGCGTTGGTACCCGAGTCGGCACTTCTTGTGATAGCCGCCCGCCCGACCGCCCAGCCGCCCGCCCGGCCTGCCGCCCCACCGCCCGCCCGCCCAGCGGGCCCGCCAGGGCCCTCGCACGCCCGCCCGCCCCCGCCCACGCGCCCGCCCGCCCGGGCGGCGAGGAGGAACGGTTGGGGCCCCTGGCGGCGAACGGCAGGATAATGTCGGGCGTGTCCCCCTAGAGGGGGAGCTTCGACGACAAATGAAAGATACCCCAAAAATGCCCCCAAAAGTTCCAAAAACACCAAGAAAACAATCCCCTGACTATTTTTGGCGTGTTTTTTTTATTTTTCGTCGAAAATCCCCCTGTAAGGGGACAGGCCCGACTTAACGGTAGGAGATTGGAGGTCGATGCGTCCCCCCTGAGCTTACTGCGAGGGCACTGGAGAAGGAGCCATTGGATGAGGGGCCCAGGATCTGGAAGCCGGTGGAACTCCAATCGTGGCCTGGCCGTGGACATCACCGCCGCCCTCACCGGAGAAGGAGTCCCTCAGGGTCTGAAGCATCCTGGGCACAGTCCTGAACTAACGCCCCCCCCCGTATCCCCCCCTGCGGTCAAAAACTGTCGCATAGCGTGTCGCGGCGGCCCCGGTGACACGCTATGCCTTGCAAGCGGATCGCGTGTCGCTCCGCTCCGCGGGGGGGCAGGCTCGGAAAGGCTCGGGACGTTGATGGAGGCCTGGGACCGGGACGTGGACAGCGTGTCGCGCCGCAGCGTGGTGGGCCAGAACTGGCGGGGCGACGCACCGTCCACAAGTTCCCGACCGCAGCGCTGCCCCTGAGAGGCGAGGGCGGCCGCAGGGCGGCCGTCCATGAGCGCGAAGCTCAGCCCCCGGGTCTCCTTGTTCACCTTGGGCCGAGGGCGAGGGAGGGCGGCCGCGAGTCTGCCGGGGGGGGGGGCGGCCAGGGGGGTCCGCGAGGGGCGCGGTGCGCTGCCCCTCCCTGGCCGCCCTCCTCCCACCACTCCACTCCACTCCACTCCACTCCACACTCCACTCCACTCCACTCCACTCCACTCCACTCCACTCCACACTCCACTCCACTCCACTCCACTCCACTCCACTCCACAACTCTCCACCTCCACTCCACTGAACTCCCTCCCTCTCCCTCCTCCCCTCCTCCTCCTCCTCCTCCTCCTCCTCCTCCTCCTCCTCCACCTCCTCCTCCTCCTCCTCCTCCCCCTCCTCCTCCTCCTCCTCCTCCTCCTCCTCCTCCTCCCCCTCCTCCTCATCGTCCTCCCCCCCCCTCCAGGAAGCTGGGAACACCTCTTCCATCGCGGCGCGGCAGAGGCAATCCGCTCGCGCGCTCAGGCTGCCGGGGGCGCACGGCGGACGAACTGGCCGGCTGCAAGGAGGAGGGGCAGCCGCAGAGAGCAGGCAGGGGGGGAGGAAAACACTCAAGAGGGCCCAAGGACACACAAGTAGATACACACACAAATAAAACCAGGGTTGATGCTGAGTGAGGGGAGGGGAGGGAAAAAGAGAGGAGGGACGAGGGCGAAGAAGGATCACATCAGTCGGAGCGCCCCGGATCGGCGGCACTGGCCGAAGGCCACTACAATAGATACACACAAATAAAACCAGGGTTCTTGTCTTCCGGCCCAATGCCCACATTTTCCCATATTTCCCTGGGGATCGACGATTACTGGTGCCTGTGTGTGTTTGTCCCCTCCTGAAACACACACAGGGAGCACACATGGGCGGCGCGAGGAAAACGGTGTCGCGCGAGATGGTATAGCGAGCGTGCGCGGAGGCTTGCGCGGGCTGCCAGCGTGCCACTCATCACCCTGCGCGGGCAGCCTGCGCGCCAACGCTGGCGAAGGCGGCCCCGCCTTCTTCCGTCGCCCACATGGCTGGATGCACGTGCGCGACATTCGGGTCGGGCGAAAGGGGGGGGGTAGCAAAGGGGGGGTTTGAGAATCAGCTCACGTAGCTGATTTTCCCGGCGCCTCCCGGCGCCGGAGGCGGCTATGTATCGAGGAATGGGCCCCTCGGCGGGGCCGAAACCAGCTGCATGCAGCAAATTTCGTAACCCCCCCTTTCCCAATCCCCCGCGTTCGTCCGACCCGAGACATACGGAGGCCACTTGCTGGCTGAAGGCGTGGAGGATCACGATGCCCGGCCGCTCCCCGGCGCGCCTCGGCGCTCTGCGGAGGTCCTCGGGGCAACCGGGGGAGCTTCCGTGGTCTGCGGCGGGCTGGGGCCAAAACAAGCGGTCCGAGCCCACGGTGGAACGCACCCGTGGCGACTTGAGGCACCGGTGGCGCAGGCAGGCGAGGGGCGAGGAGAAGGGTCGGGTCGGGCGAAAGGGTGGGGTAGCAAAGGGGGGGTTTGAGAATCAGCTCACGTAGCTGATTTTCCCGGCGCCTCCCGGCGCCGGAGGCGGCTATGTATCGAGGAATGGGCCCCTCGGCGGGGCCGAAACCAGCTGCATGCAGCAAATTTCGTAACCCCCCCTTTCCCAATTCCCCCGCTTTCGTCCGACCCGAGACATACGGAGGCCACTTGCTGGCTGAAGGCGTGGAGGATCACGATGCCCGGCCGCTCCCCGGCGCGCCTCGGCGCTCTGCGGAGGTCCTCGGGGCCACCGGGGGAGCTTCCGTGGTCTGCGGCGGGCTGGGGCCAAAACAAGCGGTCCGAGCCCACGGTGGAACGCACCCGTGGCGACTTGAGGCACAGGTGGCGCAGGCAGGCGAGGGGCGAGGAGAAGGAGGGCCCCAGCACGGCCGGAGGGCCCTCGGAGCGTGTAGGCCTACCTACCAGACCACCCCAACCCAACCCGAAGACCCGAATTTTACCCGAATTTCGGGTTGGGGGGGGGTACGGGTTCCATGTGTTTTTTCAACGTTCCCCGACCCCCCCCCACTAGAAATGGAGGGCAAATTGAAGCCTTCGGGTTGGGTTGGGGTGGTTTGGTAGGTGGTGAGTGTAGGCCCTGAGGACGCGCCTGCCACAGCCGGTGAGAACAAGAGTCCCGTGGGGCCACCCACCGGCAGGGCGGCTCCTTCTTCGGATCGGGAGGCGAAAGGGGGCAGGAGAGTCACATGTTGAGTCCAGCCCGCCCTCCATCCGTGCGGCTGCCGAGAACGTGTGAGACGAGCGCGCGCGTGACTCAAGCAGTAGTCGCGTAGTGAAAGCGGGCCGCCTGCCAACCCCGTGCAGTCGCTGGAGGTTCTTTTACTTACTGAGTGTGTGCGTAACGAAGGCAATCAACGCACGTGAAAAACGGCCATCCGTCCGGGCCAATGCTGAGGATGTCTGAAACGAGTGCGCGCGAAGCCGAGGCGAGAGCCACATCCTGAAAAAGAGAAAGCGTTCGTCCGAGTAGCCGGCCCAGTCTCCAGTAGACGCGCGCGGCACCAGAGCGAGAGCCACGTCTTGAAAACGAGACACCCCTCACTTGTGTAGTTGTCGAGTGTATGAATATATACGTTGCGCGCCTGATGGGAGGAGTGTACGCGTTTGAGCGGCAGCGTCAGGGGTGGGCTGGCTCAGCGGGGAACATCGAGCTTGAATCGGCGATACAGCGCGGATGGATCGGCGACTGGCCCCCGACAGCGAGTCCGCACGCTCCTGGGTGGGCTCTCTATCGAGCCCCTGCCAACGATGAATGGGCGATTGGGTGGGGGTCGATGCATCCCCCCCCGAAGCCTATCCACCCCCCTGTCGTTGCTGTTCGGGTCATCGATCGGGCCTCCGGCGGCCATTCGGGACAACCGGGGCGACCCCGGACACCCCTCGCGAGGCGCAGCCGCTGGGGCAGCATCCCGGGACTGGTGCACCACCCAGAACCGACGTGAACCTACGAACACCTCGAACCTCGGAGCTCCGATCCCTGCTTCCCTCCCTCCCCCCGCGAGGAGGCGCAGGGGGCCCCGCGACGGCGGCGAGGCGGGCGTTGCGGACTCGAAGCGGTGGCCCAAAAACCCAAGACCCTCTCGGCCGGCGGACGCGGGCAAAGCCCAGGGTCCGGGCGCGCGCGAGCGGGCCTGCCCGAGTGCGGAGCGGAGCCAGCCACGCGTGGGGGAAGGCAGCGAGAGAGCGGGCGGCCGTTGACAGGAGGAGCTTGTTTAGAGTCGCGCCATCATCATCATCATCATCATCATCATCATCATCATCATCATCATCATCATCATCATCATCATCATCATCATCATCATCATCATCATCATCATCATCATCGTCATCGTCATCGTCATCATCATCATCATCATCATCATCATCATCATCATCATCATCAGCATCATCATCACCACCACCACCATAATCATCAGCATCAGCATCAGCATCAGCATCAGCATCAGCATCAGCATCACCACCATCATCACCACCACCGTCATCACCATCATCACCACCACCATCATCATCATCATCATCAGCAGCAGCATCATCAATCATCATCATCAGCAGCAGCATCATCACCAGCATGATCATCAGCAGCAGCAGCATAAGCATATGTCGCCGCGCCGTTTCTTCTCGACGCGCCCACAGGAACGACGCCGACACCAAGGCACGGCAAGCACTGCGTCCCGCGCCCACGTAGACGACGCCAGCACCGCGGCAAACCCACGGCGAACCCACCGCGTCCGAGGCGGCGTCGGGCCCTGTAGCGGAGGCGCCCTCCCCAAGACGCAAGGCCGCGCGTCGGAACAAACGGCGCGGAGACAGATCATCAGCATCATCGTCATCATCATCATCATCATCATCATCAGCAGCAGCAGCATCAGCACCATCATCATCACCATCCTCCTCATCATCATCATCATCATCAGCACCATCATCATCATCATCATCATCATCATCATCATCATCATCAGCAGCAGCAGCAGCAGCAGCATCGGCTTCATCGGTACCATCATCGCCTTGGCGGCCGCAAGCCGGCCAGACCAACCTCTTTAGAGTCGTAGCGGGGGTGGACGCTCCGCGCGCGGTGGCCGACGGTCGGGAGCCTTGGCCGAGCGCGTCGCGGCGGCGGCCGCGGCGTCACGCTGTGCCCTGCAAGCGGATGGCTTGTGGCTCCGCTGCGCAGGGCTGGAGGCTCGGGAGAAGATCGGGACACTGACGCCCGGGAGCTGGGACTTGAACCGCGTGTCGCGCCGAAGCGTGGTGGGCCAGAACCAGCGCCGCGGCACGCTGCGCCAAAAGTCCTGGCCGCAGACGGGTCGCGCAGGGGCGAATTGGCACCATGGAGGCGGGAGGGGAGGAGGGTGGCCGCGGAGGGGGGGCTGAAGTGGGGCAAGGCGCTCAGGTCATGAACAGCTCGACGCCGGTGCTGCGGCCCGGCTCTGGGCTGAAACTGGCCAACTCAACATGGGAGGGTGGAGGCACCGTTTGAACAACACGAAGAAGAACATGCTCGAAGATTGTCAGCTTCCCATGTGATGGAACGAGATGCTAGAAATGGCCGGCGCAGATCACTAACTGAGTAAGACCAGGGCGAGATCAGCCATGAGGAAGGAGTAGGAGGAGGAGAAAAAAAGATAGAGCCAAACGAAGCCGCGGCCCGACCCCAAAAGAGTGATGTAGGGGCAACAAGCGCGCGGACAAACACGCGAGGAAAGTCGCCTCCAGCACGAATTCCACCTGGGGCAGGGCCACGATGACCTCAGAGGCACCCTGCCTCCATCGATCTTCCTTATCGTTTCCTCCATACCTCTCCCCCATCTCCCCATCCACCTCCTCCTCCTCTTCCTCCTCCTCCTCCTCCTCCTCCTCCTCCAACTCCTCCCCATTCTTCCACCCTCCTCCTCATCCTCCATATTCGTCATCATCCCTCGTCGTTCCTCTTGATGCTCATCTTCCACCTCATCCTCCCTCCTCCTAATCATCATCCTCCGCCCTCCATCCATCCATCCATCCCTCGCTCTCTCCCTCCATCCCTCCATCCATCAATCCAACCCTTTCGTCCTCCTCCTCATCATCATTCACAACAGCGACATCAGCATCAACAGCAATCCCATCGAAAACAGAATCATCACTATCACCATCACCACCACCATCAACATAAGCATCATCATCATCAGCAGCATCAGCATCAGCATCATCCTCACAGTCATCACGATAGCACTCATAAGCTTCGTCATCAGCACCATCATCATCATCCTCATCATCATCATCAGCAGCATCATCGGCATACTCGTTATCAGCAGCATAATCGGTGTCATCAGCATCAGCAACAGCATCGACCATCGTCATCGTCATCGCTAACGCCTCATCATCAGCATCATCATCATCACCACAACCACCATCACCATCACCACCACAATCAGCTTCATGATCATCATCATCAGCAGCAGCATCATCAGCATCATCAGCATCATCAGCAGCAGTACCATCATCAGCATCATCACAAGCATCATCATAATGATCATCGTCACCATCATCACCATCGTCATCACCATGCTCATCATCATCCTCATCCTCATCCTCATTATCCCCATCATCGTCCCCATCATTATCATCAGCATCATCATCACCATTAACAACATAAGCATCATCGTCATCGTCATCATCGTCGTCATCATCGTCATCGTCACCGTCGTCGTCCTCCTCCCTCTCCTCCTCCTTCTCCTCCACCCCCTCCTCCTCCCCCTCCTCCTCCTCCTCCTCCTCCTCCTCCTCCTCCTCCTCTCCTCCTCCTCCTCCTCCTCCTCTCCTCCTCCTCCTCCTCCCCCTCCATCCTTCTCCTCCCCCTCCATCCTCCTCCTCCTCCATCGCCCCTCGTCCTTCACATCATCCTCGTACTCGTGCACACCTCCTCAGCGTCCGCCGATCTCCGATCTCCGACCTCCGACCTCCAACCTCCTCCTCCTCCTCCTCACCCTGCTCCCCCTCCTCCCCCCTCCGGCGGCGGCGACCCTCGCCGTGCAGCCCCGCTGGCTCAGGCCCCCGAGGGGGGGATGGAGGAAGAGGGAAGGAGAGCAAGGAGGAGCGAGGAGGAGCGGGGACGCGGAGGAGGAGGCGGTGGGGCCCTGAGGCCCGCGGAGGTCGCCAGAGGGTCTCCGGAGGCGTCCGGGACTGCCCAGAAGCCTCCAGAGCCCTCTGGAGGCCTCGGCCAGCAAGCCGAAAACATCTAACGTCTAACCTCGAAGAGGAGCGACAAGGAGGAGGAGGAGGAGGATGAGGAGGAGGAGGAGGAAGAGGAAAACGATGAGGATGGGAGGATGAGGAGGAGGAAGAAGAGAATAAGGAGCGATTCAGCCACGTGCGGAGAAGGGGGGAAAGGAGGAGGAGGAGGATGGAGGACGGAGGGAGGAAAGAGGAGGGAGCAAGGGAGGAAGGGCGGAGAAAATGAGGGAGGGAGCGAGGAAGGGAGGGAGTGGAGTGGAGTGAAATGGAATCCGCTGCGGAATGCAGATAATTTACGATGAGCACCTAGGCAAGTTAGAACTTTGCCCTCGATCACCTCGCCTTCAACTCGGGTTGGCTCAGGACTTTGGGTTGCAGGCCAGCCACCATCCGATCGAGATACTCCCTGCGAGCTTCTAGTTAGAACCACGCTACCCTTGCAGGGCCTTCCGAGGGAACGCAACTGTTTCTCAGCACGAGCTGCACAGAGGCTGCACAATCACACCCCGAGGGCAGAGTAAACGTTACGAGGGTGAGTCTGGCGGGCCCTGCCGCCCATTACACATGCACGAGTGCGCCCTCCTTGGGCGACATGATCAGACCGTTCACGTTCTAAAGCTGAAAGCAGCCTGTGCTCCACTGGTCGTTCTAAAGCCAAAAGCAGTCTGAGAGCTACGAGCAGAGCTGCCAGGCCCACCAAGAGAGCAACGCGGCTCACCAGCAGAGCTTCGGGGGCCACTAGCTGAACGATGACGAGAACCGCCAGCCGAGCTACCAGGGCCACGAGCCGAGCTATACCAGCCACAGGCAGAACTTCAAGGGCAACACGCAGAACGAGGAGGACCAGCAGCGGATCTGCGAGGACAACCGGCAGAGCCACCAGATCTACGCGCAGGACTGCTAGGCCCTCCAAGAGAGCAACGTGGGCCACCAGCAGGGCTTGGGGGGCCACTGGCTGAACGATGACAGGCCACGAGCTGAGCTACGAGGGCCACAAGCGAGTGAGAACCGCCAGCAGAGCTAGCAGGGCAACCTGCTGCGCTACGAGGGCCACCAGCAGAGATACGAGGGCCGCCAGCCCAGCTGCGAGTGCCACCAGCTCAGCTACGAGTGCCACAAGGAGGGCTGCGCGGACTAGCAGCCGAGCTACCACGGCATCTAGCTCGGCCTCGAGGGCCACGAGCTGGGCTACGAACGCCACCGGCTGAGCTGCCAGAGCAACGAGCCGAGCTACGACGGCTGCGAGGGCCACCAGCTCGGCTACCACGGCCACCTGCTGCGCCGGGATACTCACCGCCACGAATACGAGGGCATCCTGCAGAGGAGACGAGGGCCACAAGCTGAGCTACCAGGGCCCCAGGCAGAGCCACGAGGGCCAAGAGCTAAGTAAGCTACGAGGGCCACCTGCCGAGCCACGAGGGCCACCTGCCGATCTACGATCGCCACAACCGGCACTCCCAGGGCCGCGAGAGGAGCTCCCAGGGCCAGCAGCTCGGCTGCGAGTCCCCGGCGGAGATGCGCGGTCCACAGGCTGAGCTACAACGGCCACAGGCAGAGCGCCCAGAGCCACCTGCCGAGCTACGAGAGCCACTGGCTGGACTACGAGAGCCACTCGCTGAGCTACAAGCTGCGCTACGAGGGCCGCAAGCAGAGCTACGAGAATCACCAACAGAGGTACCGGGGCAACCTGCTGTCCCTACGAGAGCCGGCAGCAGAGTTACGAGGGCCACCAGCTGAGCTGCGACCCACACGCGCTGAGTCACGGGAGCCACATGCAAGGGCTACGGGGACCACCAGGTGAGCTACCAGGGCCAGCCGCTGTACTGACGGGGCCACGAGATGAACACCAAGGCCCACGGAAGGCATGGACAACCAAAAAGCCGATCACTATTGGAGGCACGGTGGAGGGCAGGTTCGGCAGGGAGTACTTCGAGCGCATGGTGTTGGAACTGAGCGTCCAGACATTGAAAGTCCGCTGGACCGACGGCTCGAAGGATAACGTCCCCCGCTATTTCATCAGCAGGAAGCCACGAGCTGAGATGTGAGGGCCACAAGCTGAGCAGCGAGAGAGCCATGACAAGCAGGGATACGAGGACGACCAGCTGAGCCACCGGGGCCATCAGCTGAACTACAAGGGCCATGCCCCGTGCCAATCGGGCCACCGGCTGCGCTGCGAGGGCAGCCAGCTGAGCTCCGTGAGCTACGAGAGCCACCAGGTGGGCTTTCTTTTTCCCGGGTTCTGACATTTGGCCGAAGGGTGGAGGAGAGGGGGGCCTGGGTCCAGGCCAGCGCTCCGTCGACCTGCTCCTGCCAGTCGCGTGAACAAGCTCGGGGGAAGGGTCCTGACCAGTCGCCGGCAACCCGCCGCCAGAAGCAGCCAGGATCTGCTCCTGGGGAGGGGGGGTGACCTGCGCAGGTCGATGCAACAACCAACAAAAAAACTGCCGCCAGCTAAGCCACCACCGGGGCTGCGAGGGCCACCGCCGGAGCATCCGAGGGCCCCCGCCTGAGCTGCGAGGCGAGGCCCCCGCGAGCAGAGCGCCCGAGCGGGCGCTGCGCGGGGCCTCTGCCACGCCTCCTCCCTTCCTCCACGGTGAGCCCTGGGACGTAGGATGGGCAGGCGCCCTCCCCCTCCTCTCTCTTTTTCTCTCTCTCTCTCTCTTTCTCTCTCTCTCTCTCTCTCTCTCTCTCTCTCTCTATCTCTCTCTATCTCTCTCTATGTGTATATATTATACATAACAATATAATAAATATATATACATACATATATATATATATATATATATATATATATATATATATAATATATATACGGTAGCCACACCCCCCACATGATCATACATATTTCTTTTTTTGCTACTCCTCTTCCTCGCGCGCCCTGGGGGGGGAGGGCCTGGGGCTTCCTGGGGCTTCCTGAGGCCTCCTGGCCTTCCCGAGTCTTCCGAAACGCTTCCTGGGGCTTCCCGAAGCCTCCTGGGGCTGCCGAAACACTGCCCTGGTGAAAAACGCTGTGTTTTCCTGATATTCCTGACCTTCCCATGGATTACCCCTGAGAAAACGCTGTGTTTTCCTGATATTCCTGATATTCCTGACATTTCCAGAGACTACCCAGGCGCCGAGGCCTCCTGGGGCTGCCGAAACATTGCCCTGGTGAAAAACGCTGTGTTTTCCTGATATTCCTGACCTTCCCAGGGATTACCCCTGAGAAAACGTTGTGTTTTCCTGATATTCCTGATATTCCTGACATTTCCAGAGACTACCCAGGCGCCGAGGCCTCCTGGGGCTGCCGAAACATTGCCCTGGTGAAAAACGCTGCGTTTTCCTGCTATTCCTGACCTTCCCAGGGATTACCCCTGAGAAAACGCTGTGTTTTCCTGATATTCCTGATATTCCTGACATTTCCAGAGACTACCGTGAGCCTGCAGGGTAGTCTCTAGAAATGTCAGGAATATCAGGAATATCAGGAAAACACAACGTTTTCTCAAGGGTAATCCCTGGGAAGGTCAGGAATAGCAGGAAAACACAACGTTTTCCAC